AGCCGGCAATTGTTTCAGGCCATGCACGTTCTGCACTTCCCCATCCGACCGTTGTGCTTTTGACGTCCATCCCAAGTGCCGTCAGTGATGCTGGGTATCGTAGACGGGAGCATGCGAGTAAAGGCATGTCCGCCCAATCCGAGAAATGCAAATGGTGAAGAGGTTGGGTGCTTTTTCGCTGGCGCTGCCCTACCAAAGCTATGCGCGCCCAATGCTGCGTACGGACGACGGGCGTCTCCAGCCCCGAGGCCTCAAGGACACCTCGCTGTGACCTCACTGCACCTCACTGTGGTGCGCCGTTCCAGCGTCCTTTTGGGTCTCCCCATTGGCCACGACCTCCCAGTGGACCCATCAGGGGTAAGGCTAACTTGGGCTAAGCGAGGCGCTATCGCTCTATCCGCCATCGATAACAAGGTGACGACTAAGGTCGAGGAGGATGGGGCATCAGTGTCCATACTCCGTATTATTTTTTTTCTCTTCAAGCTGTTCATTGTTCCCCATCAGTCGATAATCCATTCGCCTTTCCCACTCCCGCCTCACAACATCGCTCAAACACTGCAGAAAAAAAATCCCAACCAACGTCTGTAATACCCACACACAAACAAACCTCCCTCGAGATACCACACCGACGCTACCTTGCCACTCTCTCCAAACGAAAAGAACCTCCCCTACCCCCCCGGTCAACGTCACCCCCGCCGAAGCTCTCGCACGCCGCCATCTCTCCATCTCTCCAACGGCCATCGACTCCTCTCCTCTCTGTGCCTCTCCGTCTCCAAACCCGCCCCTGCAGCAGGCCCTCGTCGACCGCCTCTGCCCGCAACGCCCGCCGCCGCCGCCATCCCCGACCTCATCGCATCCCAACGCCATCTTGCCCTGTCCCAGCCGCCACAACTGCGACCATTCACCACGAACCAAGGTGCCGCCGCCCTTGACGTTTTGAGGGATTGACGAGACCAAGCCAAATTCACCCCGCCCCCGGAAGCCGTCGAAAGCAGTCCTAATGGATAACAACCTATGGACCCGCCGCACAAAGTGAGCCTTTCGTCCCTCTGCCCCCCTGCACGTCATGACACTAACGAACGCACAGCTCTGGCAAGCTTTCACTCTCGACAAATGGTAGTCCCGCGCCGGGCGGTGACGCCAACCGAAACGGCTCCTTTGCCAAACGATTCGGCGGCGATACGTCCTCACACGGCGGCAAATCAAATCCCTTCAACAACGTAACGACCCCCGGCGCGGGCGGCATGGCGTCGCCCACCACCGCCGGCGCGGCCAACGCCTTTGGCCTGGGCTCCGGCGCCTTCGCCTCCTTCGGCTCCGCCAAGACGCCCAAGTCCCCTGGCAACCCGTTCGACCTCGCCATGGGCAAGATTGGCGGCGGCGCCAAGGCGGCATCGCAGCACGACCCCGCGGCCAAGGTCCCCTCCATCGCTCCGATCCCCGAGAAGAAGGCCCTGGGCTCCCAGCCCGCCTCGACCCGGACGTCCTCGGAGCAGCTGCGCGTCCACCCCCTCAAGTACGAGTGGGTGACGTGGTGTCGGCCGCCCCAGCCAAAGGGCCAGCCGTACCAGGAGTACGCCAAATCGCTGACGCCAATGATCCACTGCAACTCGGTGGAGGAGTTCTGGGTCGGCTACCCCCACCTCAAGCGGCCCTCTGAGCTGTCCGTGGGCTGGGAATACCACTTCTTCAAGCGGGGCATCCGCCCAATCTGGGAGGACGACGAGAACAGAAGCGGCGGCAAGTGGGTGCTCCGTCTCAAGAAGGGCATCGTCGACCGGTACTGGGAGGATACCGTGTTTGCGCTCCTCGGCGAGGCCTTTATCGACGCCAGCGAGGAGGTCTGTGGCGGTGTGGTGAGCGTCCGCAACGGCGAGGATATCATCAGTATCTGGACCCGCTCGACCGGCGGACGCGTGCTGAGGATTCGGTGAGCATCTTAGGTCCCAAATTTTTGAGGCATAGCTAACCCCCCGCAGTGAAACGTGGAAGTCGTACCTCAAGTGTCCGCCCAACACGCAGTTCGAGTTCAAGTCCCACGACGAGAGCATCCAGCACCGAGCCGCCATCGAGGAGTCCCGCCGCGAGAAGCAGCACGACAAGCGCGGCAACAAACAGACCACCGAAGAGCAGAAGCCCGCCGCTTCGTGAGTGGAGCGTTCACATTACCCCCGAAAGCAACGACCCTCCTCGCCGGGAAAGCGCCACGCCACCAACCTTGTTGCATCTTTGTTTTGTTTCTCTCTTCAAAGCCATCTTTGATGTTTATTTGTACACTATTGGATCCACTACCCCCCTTACGACGGATCTTCATAGCATTCGGGTTTTTGTGAAAATCTCCCGACAAAAAATACACCTATGTGGGGAAAATATGAGGAAGCAGGTTTGGACACATTGGAGACGGTTGTGTGCTCCCCTTTGATGAAGGGGGGGAAACCCCTCTTTTTGGAATTTTCGACCTCGGAAACGGGAATCGATTTTTTGGGAGGGAAATGGAAAACGGGGGGTCAGCGGTCAAACGTTTAGCGGTCACGTTTGTTTTATGGGTTTGCGAACCGGGCGGCAGGTCATGGATAAGATCCCCAAATCTCATCATCTTTCTCGGGAGGTGTAACACTAACCTGCGATGCGAGTGTCGCATGCTTCGGTATGCTTTTGTCGAGCTGCTGGATGCGCGGTCTGAAAGGCATGGGCCGTATGGATAGTCCCAAATGACTACGAAATGAGCTCACTCTGGACCATCACTGACACGAAACGTGAACTGAATGCATGCGTGACATGGGACTACCGCATCCCGTATGGCATTAATCGTACAATCTACGCTTTCCTCGGCGTCCTCCGCCTCTCCCACACCTGCAGATACGTCTCGCCCAGGTACAACAGCTCGCTCTGCACCTTTTCCACAAACAGATCCTGGCACGAGACCCACTCGTCGCGGCCCTTATCCTTGAGCTGCACCTTCCACGTCTTGCGCTCCTCCCCGCTGTCCGCGACATCTTCTTTGGCGCGCACGGCCTCGTGGACGACGTTGGCGACGAGGTCGTACCAGATGGGTTCCCCGGGGGGCCACTCGCCCGGGTTCGGCTCGACGTAGGGGCTCACGTCGAGGCCGCGCGGGTCGAATGTGACGATCGTCGGGTTGCGCTCCGAGACGAACTTGTTCTGACTGAAGCGCTTGACGTGGAGGACGAGGTAGGGGGGTAGGGGATGCAGCAGGCGATACCGCTTGCGCTGGGCGAGGTGCTCTTGCGCGTGGATGCCGTCGTATTTGGAGAGGATGGTCGTGAGGGGCACTTGCGGGATGATATTCTTTTCGAGCTCGTCTTGGAAGAGGGGGGCCGCGGGGAGGTCGAGGGTGAGGAACATGAAGCGGGATGAGGTGACTGACACGGCGGCGTCTTCGAAGCGCAGGCGATCGCCCGCGTCGGCGCGCGCCGTGATGGCTTGTGACTCGACTTTCAGCTTGCCCTGGAAGATGCGCTGCACGACGGAGCTGCCGGGTTTTGTTTTCGACCCGCCGAGGCCTAGGTGCAGGTTGTTCAGGAACCACGACAGAAACTCGACGGGGTCGGACTGCGCCGTCAGGGTGAAGCGTTTATTCGACAGCAGAGAGATTTCCTGGAGCAGCTCGTGGGGGGAGACGTGGGCTTTGAAGGCGCGCGGGTTCCAGATCTTGCGGACGAGGATACCGAAGCGCTTGGCGAGCTCGGAGCGGGACGAGAGGTCCTCCAGAAGGCAGAAGTTGCGCAAGGGGGCGACGTGCGCCAGAGCCTGCACCACGACGTTGAGGTAGTCGTTCTCCTTCAAGTTGTTCATTCCCACGAAGCCGGGTGCGTATTCCCTCCCCGCGAGCGTAAAGGACGCGCGTAGCGGCGTGCGGTCGAGGGCGGCGACTTCGGGTTTCGTGTAGCGCGGGTCCGAGACGAACTTGATGTCGTCGAGCGATTTTGACTTGACCTCGTACCCTTCCGGGAGGACGTAGACCTTTTGCGTCTGCATGTTGATGAAGACGTGGTGGTTCTCGTCGAGGGCGTGGAAGTAGGCGTGCGATTTCGGGCCGCGGCCCTGGTAGTACCGGCCGCATACCAGGCACGCGTAGACGTTGATGTTGGACAGGCTGACGGAGCAGAGCTTCTCAAAGTCAAAGTCGAGCACGTTGCGGTCTATCGTGTCGAGGTAGAGATCGTCGTAGCCGTCCGTCGGCGCCGATTGGCGGATCGAGACATGCACCGGCGCGTCTTCCTCTATTTCGCTGTCGCTTTCGGCATCGTCGTCTTGTGGTGGTACTTCGGCCGTGCCGTTTGTGGGTGTTGCGTCGTCCGTCGTCGCCGCTGTGTCGTGCCCGTTTTCGAGCGAGCCGTTGGAGATGAGGGAGTCGACGGTTCGTGAGCGTTTCGACGCCGGCGAGTCGATCCCTGCGATTTCGTCGAGGGGGTCCTCGGCGTGACGTTTCCTGTGCGCCATGCTGTGTGTGTGTGTGGTGTCTGGAGGGGTATCGAGTGGTGTTGGTGGTTTCCTTGCGAGTGCGAGGCTGAAGTCGCAGGTATGGATTGGTGGTTCCTGGTTACAGGCGTGGAAAAAGTCGCCAGTCTATCGCTCTAGGTGCACGCCCCCACCGTCGGAAGCCACGCCCAGAGCTTCTACAACCTCATCCAGACATCAGTCACTACACGGCCACAGACGACGCAAACCTATCTGCGATGGAGTACACCAACCCGGCCACATCGGGCTGCCGAGTCGCCAGAAGAACTTTTCGGATGCTGGCGCATGCAGCGCATGGATGATGGACCAGTCAGCGTCGCTGCGTTATCCTCCAATGGCATCGGAAGCGCGTGACCTGGTGTCAGCCGCAGCCTGATCTTGGAGTGAGGGGCTCCGCCCCCGTTTCCTGCAGTTCTGTCAGGATTCGCTGATGTCTATCCTAAGATTGCGTTGCAATAGCGATAGTTCGTTGAGTTAACGCTCGTTTGTGCGTCCGTTGTCGACGACAGCAACACGCCATGGCCACTCTACCGCCACGCCGCCGCGAAGACTTCACTGTCGCAGTGATTTGCGCCCTTCCGCTGGAGTTCAATGCCGCAGAGTTGGCCCTCGATGTGTTGTGGGACGGTCTTGAGCATGATCTCGGCAAGGCTGCAGGTGACGCAAACACCTACACGCTGGGTCGAATCGGCAAGCACAATGCCGTCCTCGTTCTCCTTTCCGGCATGGGAAAAGTGAATGCAGCTAGCGCGACTGCCAGCCTTCGGTCGAGTTTCGGGGGTCTCAGGTTAGCTCTCCTATGTGGCATATGCGGTGGCGTGCCCAATGCCAACGGCGATGGGGAGATGCTGCTTGGAGACGTAATCATCAGCAAAAGTGTCGTTCAGTATGATCTTGGGCGCCTGTTTCCAGGCCAGTTTGAGCCAAAAGACACCATATACGACACTTTGGGTAGGCCGGTCAAGGAGATTCGGTCCCTACTCATTGCATTCGAAACCCATAGGCAAAAGCAGCGTCTGCAAAAGGAAATTTCAAAAGGTCTAGCAGAAATCCAAACCAAGGCAGTCGAGGAAAGCTACGATGTCGACTATCGTAGACCACCACACGAAGACGTGCTCTTCGAGCCCGACTACACCCACAGGCATCGGAAAGACGTACAGTGTAGCTGCAGCGAAACACAGACCTGTGAGCAGGCGACAAAAGCGACATGCGAGGAGCTCGGCTGTGACTCTGAATACCGAGTGTCTCGAAGATGCCTCGAGAATCAACAAGCTGGGCAAGAGAAAACCTCTCCGGAGCACCAGCCTCGTGTTTTTCTTGGCTCGATTGGATCAGGAGATACCGTCATGAAGTCTGGCAAGGACCGTGACCAGATTGCGAGAGAACATAGCCTCGTCGCCTTCGAAATGGAGGGAGCTGGAGTTTGGGACGAAATCCCCTGCATCATCGTCAAGGGCGTATGCGACTATTCCGACAGTCACAAAAACAAGACTTGGCAACACTATGCTGCGGCAATAGCTGCGGCGGCAACGAAGGCACTTCTCGATCGTTATGCGCCGGCAGCCGGCTTGATTGAGCAGGTGAAGCAAGTCGAGACGATTGGCTTCTCGCCAAAGTGTAAGTGTGTCTCCTACCTGCTCCACCGAAATCATGCTGAGAGAGTATAGTTCTGGTGCCATATGTCAAAAATTCCGAGTTTGTTGGCCGAGAAGAGATCTTCAACCGTATCGCGCATCTGTTCGGGGACACGCAGACTGGCCTGGTCAGTGCGAGACTATGCTCAAGAGTGGCACTCCACGGGCTCGGCGGTGTTGGGTAAGACGAACTTTGCGTCACTTCAAAGCAAGGCTAACGTCAACAAGCAAGACGCAAATCGCCTTGGCCTATGCCCATTGGCTACATGAGACTTCTCCTGAAGTTTCCGTGTTCTGGGTCCACGCCAGCAACCGCCAACGCTTTCGCCAGGCTTTCACATCGATCGCTCAAGTATGTGGCATCCCGGGCTACGACGGAAAGAAGGTCGATACACTTCTTCTTGTGAAGCAGTGGCTTGAGAGCGATAAAAGCGGTCCTTGGCTACTGATTATCGATAACGCCGATGACAAGGACCTGTTCTTTACGGACTCTGAAGAAGACGGAACCGGCGCAGATGTGCCGGAACCTGCATCTGAAGGGGGATTAGGCCGCTTCATCCCAGAGTGCCTCCACGGATCTGTTCTCATAACGACAAGGGATATGCAGACAGGCCTCAGGATGACAGCTGGGACTCCCCCAATCAAGGTCAATGAGATGATCGACGCTGAGGCTGTTCAGCTGCTACGTTCCTTGCTCCCGAACCAGGATTTTCCTCTTTCAGAGGGAATCGCGCTAGCATCTCGACTTGAATACTTGCCTTTGGCGCTGGCGCAAGCAGCTTCCTTCATCCTCGAAAACTTTATGTCCATCAACGACTATATCCAAATACTGGACAAGAGCGATTCTAGTTTGGTGCGTCAGCTGAGCGAGCCCTTCGCATCAGTAGGGCGCGACTCGGAGACGCCTCATGCGCTGACGGCCACCTGGTTGATTTCTTTCCGTCAAATCGAAAAGCGGTATCCATTGGCGGGGGACTTACTATCTTTCATGAGCATGTTTGATCGCCAAGCTATCCCAAAAGACCTTGTCGAAGACTACTGCTATGAGCAGTTGCGCAACAAGTCAGACTCTGCCATCGAGGTGGAGGGCGCTTTTGAGGAAGATTCCGGTACAGGCTCCGACTATAGTTCTGATTCAGAAACCGCCAGTGCCGGCCCCGATGCCAGTTCCAATGACGGCTCTGATTCTGGCTCAGAGGCTGACTTTGAGACGACTCTGGAAGCCACAAAGGCTTTGGGGGTTCTTCAAGCCTTTTCGTTTATCTCCAAATCAAGCAATGACAATTATGACATGCATCGACTGGTACATTTAGTCACGCGCAAGCGCCTTTTGCAAGAGAAGAAGATGCCGCAATTTACGAGCGAGGCTCTTGAAATGATGTCTCGCACTTTTCCACTCGGCTGTTTTGATAATCGAGCGGAGTGTCTTATATATCTACCGCATGCCCTCGCAGTCCTGGCACGTCCAAACCCCCATTTTAATGATCAGAAGGTCCACGCTGCAAAGCTATTGTACAATGTGTCCGAGTACTTCGGGTATCTACGGCAACATCGAGAGGAAGAAAAGCACCTGAACCGAGCTTTGGAACTTCAAAGAGCGGTATATGGGCAGGAGCATCCTGTCACTCTTAGTTCGAAGACCTGTCTGGCGTCAGCCATCATGTATCAAGCTCGTCGAGAGGAAGCAATCAAGTTGCTTCTGCCCACGTTGGAGGCCCAAAAGAGGTTCCTGGGGGAAAATCATGGAACAGCACTGTACACACGCCGTGTACTTGCAGATGTGTATTTGGAACAGGGCCGTCATGAAGAGGCAGAGGAGCTGCTTCTGAAGATTCTTGAGATCTGTGAAGGAGACAGCAGCAATGAGTGGGAGGCTTCAAGCGCCTTGGGCGTGCTATCGGCTGTGTACTTAAATCAGGGACGGTATGGGGAGGCAGAACAATTGCAACTGCGGTTATTGGAGGGAGATAGGCAAACAAACGGGGAGGACTCTGAGGCTACACTTTGGACCATGGGGAGGCTAGGACGTGCATATCGAATGCAGGGCCGTCTACCGGAGGCAGTAGATATGATTTTACAGACGCTGGCCCGATGCAGAGTGTTAATGGGTGAGGCACACTTCGCCACGGTAAATCTCATGTGGGAGCTAGGACTTGTCTATGAAGATCAAGGTCGTTTGGAGGTGGCTGAAGAACTCATATCCGAAGTGTTGGACATCAGGAGATCATCGATGGGCGAGGAGCATGAAGATACGACATTCGCCATCGCGGTATTAGGACGAGTCTACAGCAAGCAAGGTCGTCTGGAAGAGGCAGAAGGTTTATTGCTCCAGGCGTTTGAGACGTGGAAAACAACGAAAGGCGAGGAGCATAAAGACACAGCAGGTGTCATGGGAGATTTAGGGCTCTCTTATCTTTGTCAAAACAGACTGGGGGAAGCGGAAGAGCTACAACAGCGAGCGTTGAAAGTGATGAGAAAGGTTTCAGGGGATGAACGCGCCAACACTTTAGCGCAAGAGCACAACCTGGCCTGGGTGTGGTGGAAGCAAGGGCGGGAAGAGGAAGCGATTAAGCTGATGCTTAAGTGCGCCAAGGCTCGAGAATGCGTTTTCGGTCGAGACAACAAAGACACAATCATCTCCCTCAGGTCATTGTCACTGTGGAAGAAGAAAGAGATGAAGACGAAGGACAACAGCGAGGATGTCTCGGAGAGCGCGAGCGAAGATCCTAGCGGTAATGGAGGAGACGCATGTGTAGGCTCCGACGACGAGTCGGACGATGGCGAAGGTGCACGCCTATAGACATTCAATCAAAGCCATATCGACTATCGATTGCAACACCCGCTCCGCTTAAATCAATGGCCGAACGCTGATGTCAAAAGCACCCTCACACCGCACCAGGTCAACAGCATAAAACCAAGAAAACCATTCTATTTTAAACTCCTACATCTACTTTCATACCATTATGACATCCGCTGCGGCATCCTCCATGGCCACATCATCCTCTATCGCAGGGGGCGCGAGACTGTCCATCTCCCGCAGGGTATATTCCACCAGGTAACTCTCGTCCACGAGCTCGTCCGTCCGCCTGTAGTGCCGCTCAGTGTATACGCGAAGCGCGTTGAGCACCTCCTTGAGGCTGCGCTGGCCCCGCGCGCCCTTGACCGAGAGGTTGGAGAACTTTGACGCCGGGTAGCTGCGGACGAGCGTCCAGAGAATGCGCTGCGCGACGGCGGCCGTCCGCGCGTTGGTGTTCCAGTCGCGCAGGCGTAGGAGCAGGGTGAAGAGCTGCTCGTCGGAGAGCGTGGCGAGGACCTGGTCGACGGCTTTGAGGCCGCAGAGGCTGCCGGGTTCGGGGGTGGAGGTGACGACTGACGTAAAGAGGCTGAGGAGGCGGCCGGGGTGGTTGAGCTGGAGGGCGAGGACGATGGCTTCGCGGTAGGAGCCGTGGTGGATGTGGTTTTGAAGCTCCTGCTCCTGCTCGATGAGCTTCTGGGCGGCTTCGGTGGCGGCGGCCTGGGATTCGGCGGTGGTGTCCTTCCAGAAGGTGACGAGGGCGTCGCCGTCGCCCGAGACGACGGTGTTGTCGACCGGGTGGACGGCGAGGGCCCAGATGCGGTCCTCGTGGTTGTCGAGCGTCGTCTCGGCCTCGCCCGAGTTGGCGTCCCAGACTTTGACGAGACCGTCGCTGCCGGCGCTGGCGAACTGGACCTGCTTCTTGCCCTTGCCCTCGGGCTTGGGCATGTTGAGCCAGGCGACCTTGAGGACGCTGTTGGAGTGGCCTTCAAAGGTGCGGATGCATGAGTAGTCATTGAGGCTCCAGAGCTTGACCGTCTTGTCGGCGCTGCCGGTGAGGACGACGCCCTTGCCGGCGACCTGGCCCTCGTCACCCTGGATCGCGGGGCATCCCGCGGGGGCGAATTTGACGGACCACACGCCGCGCCTGTGGCCGCGGAGGATGCCCTGGACCTCGCCCTCGGCCACGGACCAGATCTTGACCATCTTGTCCTGGGAGGAGGAGGCGAAGAGCTGGCTGGCCGGGTGGACATCCATGGCGTTGATGTCCTTGTCGTGGGCTTTGCGGGTGAAGACGGCGCGGGATCCGCCCTTGCGGGTTTGCTGGGGTTCACGGGGAATCTCCCATTTCTTGACGGTCTGGTCCTGAGAGCCGGTGAAGAGGTATGGCGGGGGGTGGCCCAGGGGGTCCTTGAACTGTGCTGATGATTCTTGCGGGGGTTGCTTTGGGAGTGCCACGGCACCGACCGATTCCGTGTGGCCGGTGAAGGTGGCGTAGCATGTGTAGGAGTTGTTGGCCGGGTCGACGCGCCAGAGGCGAGCGGTGTTGTCCTTTGCGCCGGTAGCGATCCAGTAGCCGGACCAGTCGACGTCCAAAGACACGATAATGTCGTCGTGGCCCTTGAGCAGCGCGATGTCCTGGCCAAAGTACGTCGCGTCTTCTGAGGAGTCCTTGACCGAAACGATGCGAATGTCCTCGGCGTTGGTCGCCAGCGCAAGCAGAGAGCGGTCGGGCAGGAGGTAGTTGAGATCGATAATGGAGTCGTGGGTTCCGGAGATTCGTCGGAATGGCTCCATGACCGATCCCTCAACGGCATCCTTCTCCGGCACCTTGTAGAGCGCAAGTGTGTGGTCGACCTGGACGCACAGGATAAAGGGGAGCTCGGGGTGCGAGACGGCGCTGACGATGCCCTCGGCCTCGGCCTTCTCCGGCTGGTCCTTTGTGAGCTCGCGGCCCGTGTCGGTATCCCAGATTCGTAGGCAGCCCTTGGCGCCGGCAGAGTACGTCAGGCGGCCGCCATCGACGAATCCAACTGCCTCGACGAGCTCCAAGCACGGCACGACCTTTCTGATCTTCCACGACCGCGCATCCCACCAGATGATTGTCTTATCTCTGCTGGCTGAGACGATGGCCTGCTGTTCGGGGGAGTAGTCGAGGCCCTGGACGTTGGAGACGTGCGAGTCGAGGCTGGCGACGGCAGCGCGCTTGTGCAGATCCCACACCCGTACTTTTCCGTCCTGGCTACCGGACACCAGACGCCAATTCGTTGTCGTTGTCGTAGTCTCCTCCTCGGTCTGTGTCGCCTTCTTCCCCTTCTTGCTTGCGTCCTCATTCGAACGCGCCGCTACTTCAAAAAAGTGCAGAGCCGAGACAAGCACGCTCGGTCCGCGGAAGGTGTGCGTGACGTATCCGCCGGCAATGTCCCAGACCTTGATCGCTCCGTCGGTGCCTCCGGTCGCGAGGAGAGTGCTCGTTCGGTCGACGGCGAGGACGACGACCGGGGTTCCGTGGGGTTTCAGTGAGCGCGTCAGCTTCGCCTCTATCGTTCCGTCTTCGGTGGTCTTGAGGGCGTAGATCTTCATCGCGAGCGATCGGGAGCAGATGATGAGGTGCGAGCCGGAGGGGGTCACTGTAGCTGTTAGATGGTGGGTTCCGTCGGGTACAAAGTATACATACGGGTCAGCGTCGAGATCGTTTCGCCATCCTGACACTAAGGTTAGCCGTGCATCTCTACAGACGTCCCGGGGCGCATACTCCTTCGATCTTTGCCAGATGTTTCCCGTTGGAGGGGTTGGTGAGGATGGCGTCCTCGCCGAGGGGTGTTGCGAGAATCTTAGCACCATTGTCCAATGCGACGGAGCCGCCGGTGAAGATGGGCCGTATGACCCGTTCGGGCTCGAACGTCGTCTTGAGGGGCTGTTTGCTCGCCATCTTGTCGGTCTATCGAAGCGGTGCAATCGGTCGCGACATGCGGCAAGCAGCGGTTTGTCCCAGATTTTTTTTTTCGTCTGGCGGGATGATGCTTATCGATAGCGCTATCTTATCGGACCCGCTTTCGTGTAGGAGCTCCTACGTAGTATCTCCAAGACCACTTCAAGCCTAGAGCTTAGGATCACCTGCGATCGCAGACTTGCATCTTCAACCTGTGAATTAATTTCAATCTACCTAGAAGATCCTGAGCACTCGTTCGGCCCATCCTCCACCGCCCATGGGCCTTTCACCCACCACTCAACATGACGAGACTCGGTCCATTGACCGCGCAGGCCTTGGTACGATTGTCCCCAACCCACCCCAAGCCTCACTAACGCCCCCAGGGCCGCTCGCCATTTGACGATGTGGTCGATGGCGAAGGCGAAGACGACCCGCATGCACCGACTCAGCAATACGACAACCGCGGACGACCGGTCAACCCCGAGACAAAACGGATGAACCGCGACATGGTGCGCTCCCACAACGAGGTGATGCAGGTCATTGGCGTCGCCGAGCCGGACAACACGCCCTCCACCGCCGAAGTCGATTCCGTGCGACGATACTTCAACTACGAGGATGCGGTGGGCACGCGGCTGCTGCGGTTCGGGCGTGCGCTGGAGATTGCCGGCGTCTGGGGTATCAACGGCATGCGACTGCGCATTCTCCTGTACAGACGGTACGCCGACATTTCCTTCTTTGAGCTCTTCCAGCACGAGCGGAGCCAGCGGTCAATATCGTCCGCCCTCATCACGGGTCTGCCGACGTTCCTCGGCGGCCACGTCTTCAAGATGGCCACCTACTGGTTCTACCCGTACCCGCGAAAGAACAAGTTTGTCAACACGGCGCTGTCGTACATCCGGGTGCACCTTCAGCTGTATGTCTTCCTCCAGAGGCTTGACATCATCCCGTCTGCGAGATGGTTCCCCTCGCTGAGCTTCTTCATCCCGGGCTCGCCCTCGTCGCCCATCGCAGCGCCGGCGCCGCCACAGGACTTTAGCCCATCGTCGCTGGTGCAGTATGCCGGCGCGTGGTGTGTGAACTCGATCCCCTTTGTTTCGTATGTCATCTGGGGCCAGATCTGGACGGAAGTGACTGGCCACCTGTGGCAAGAGTTCTACGGACGACTGCCGAATACCGTGCACCACCGCAAGCCTCCACCGCCGCCGCCTCCACTACCGCCGGTGACAATCCCGGAGACCCCGGAGCCGGTGCCCGACGTGGATCGTCCACAGCCCGAACCTCTCTCTGAGCTGAGGAGTGAAGATATCCTCGAGGACAATCCCCCGGAAGCAGAACCTAGCGACACACCACCCGTCCAGGCAGTGCGCCGACCAAGCGCCTTCTCAGCCAGGGGAGAAGACTACGGCAGCGACGACGAAGAGGACGGAGGCATCAGTGCGACGCTCATCAGTTTCGACGTGGAAGCGACGGACTCAACCGATGCGCCTCCCGGGCTCTGGTCCGCCGAGTTGCGGCCAAGCACGGGTCCCGAAGGTTCCGGATACGGCGCCGCGATCCAGTACATGGACACCATGCTGACCAGGCTGCCGGCGTGTCTGGCGTCAGACATCTTCACCGTGATCTCGGGCTACGTCCTGGTCTCGCCATACGAAGCCGTCGCTCTTCGCTTGGTGGCGAGGTCCTACCGCGAGAGGATGGGCCTGCCCACGTTTGATATCCACGACACCAATATCTTTAGCGGCATGACGCTGCGGGGCGTCACCAACTTCCTCGGGCTGGAATTTTTGCACCTGGTGATTGCGGGTGAGTTGTGGGCTCTCATCACGGGCCTCGCGCAGTGGTTCCACATTACGGAGGAGGAGTGGAAGCTGTGGAACGAGATTGAGGAGGCCGAGGCTGCGGAGGAGCGGAGGCGTCAGGGGCAGATTTGAGGGATGGGTATTTGGGGGTGCAAAGTCACCGGGATGGTTTGGCGTCTGGCGTATGCAAAACAAGATACCTCAAGCACAGTAGTCTTTTTAACTGGATCGTTCGTAACGTTCGTTAAATTTGGGGGTATCAACAGTGCACCGAC